CTGGGCCCTTCTGTGGCTCAGAGAGGAAGGCATGGGGGTCGTCCTTATGTTAGCCGAGGAAGCAGAGTCCGGTGAGGGCAAGTGACCCTGTTGCTGGCCACCAGGGGTGAGGCCAAGCGGGAACCCAGTGCCCTGGCTCCAGGAAGGGCGTGTGGGGAGCGGCGGCAGTCTCGCCATCGCACTGTGCTGCAAAGAGGCAAGTGGAGATTTGCCCGGGTGGGTTTTTACCGCAGTACATCAGGGCTGGGAGGGCTGCTGTTTCTTCCCTGATTCACTGCTGCGTCCTGTCCTCCCCACCAGATGGAGAGGCTGGGAGACATTGGGTTAATTCAAGCTGTGAAGTGAGCGGGTGATTTGGGTGCTAATTAAAATGACAGGAAGTAAACAGCGCTTGGAAACACCCAGCATGTGCCCCCTAAGCCCCGCTAGGCCTGCGCACTCATCATCTCCCCCAGCTTGCGCAGTGGGCCCTGTCTCCATGGCAACCGAGCTGAGCCGCAGAGATCAAAGCTGGAGATGGGTTAGCTCCAAACCAGCCGAACCAGGGGCATGTGGAGGGGTTTCTGGAAAGCGCCAAGAGAAGGGGGCCTCCCAGGTGTCTTCCCCATCCCCCCGCCAGTCCCTCCTCTCCTGGCTGCTGGACTTCCTGCAGAGGGGTTAAGGCAGAGCTGGTGTGGTAGGGAAAACCCTCCCATAGGTTGGGATTGGGCCTCCTGGTTTCACCCTGGCCTGGGACTCTCTTCACCAGCTGACATTTACGGAGTCCTGGTTAGGAACACGGGCTCTGGAATTAGTTCTGGGTGCCAATACTCTTCTGCTGTGCAATTGCTCTGTGATCCTGCATAAGTCACTTAACCTCTCTGAGCCTCAATTTTATCATCTGAGCAATGGGAATAATAATAATGTTCTCTTAGAGTTGTGAAGAGGAAACAAGCCAATGAATGTAAAGTGCTTAGCACAATGCTTCCCACATGCTAATTGCTGTAAAGGTATTAACTTGTATTTTGGGTTTTTTTTTTTGAGACAAGGTGTTGCTCTGTCATCCAGGCTGGAGTGCAATGGTGCGATCATAGCTCACTGCAACCTCCAACTCCTGGGCTCAAGCGATCCTCCTGCCTCAGACTCCCCAGTAGCTGGAACTATAGGTGCACTGCACCAGCACACCTGGCTAATTTTTAATTTTTTTTAAGAAACAAGGTCTTGCTATGTTGCCCAGGTTGATCTAGAACTCCTGCCCTCAAGTGATTCCCCCTACCTTGATCTCCCAAAGTGCTGGGATTAAGGTGTGAGCTGCTGCGCCTGGCTAGTTTTCTCATTTTTTATTGTGTAGATCCCATCGGCTCTGCATGCTTCACAGAATTGTGAGGATAATAGGAAGACAGACTCATAGAAATACTTGGAGAGGGCTTACTTTAAAAGCATCATTCAATATAAGCCAGGGTGCATTTGTAAATTCTAGAAGTTTTTCTCACCTGTCTGTCCTGTGGTCAGAGGTGGTTGTGCTAACCAGGTGAAATATCCACGCTTTTCCTTTAGCCCAGAACTTTGGCTCTCAGCCTATACCCATCTCCCCTCCAGCCTGGCCCTTGCTCTAGAGCACTAGAGATGGGCTCTTCCCAATGCCCATTTTGCGAGTGAGGTTGGCCGAAGAGCCAGCATAGAACCAGGCCTCCCACTTCCTGGGAAGACCCCGCTGCCCTTATCAGTCCATTTCTCACAATGGCTAATGAGCCCATGTGGGTGCCATAAATAGACACCACACTTGCCTTGAAAAGCATCATTCACACTTGCCAACTAACTCCTCTTTTTCAGGTTATAGATGGCACCAGCCCACACCTGACCCTAGGGGCCCCTACGTGGGTCCCTGGGCTTTGCCCCCAGAATGGCCATTCCCTGCTGCCTGCCGGCTTCCTCGTCACCCTTCCCCACAAAACCGCTGAGGGGTGACTCTGCTCACAGCCCCACTGGTCTCTGCTCTCCCCACGGTGGTCTCTCTCTCCACTCTCCTGGGATTCCGCATGTGGCGTCTCTCTCCCGCACCTTCTCTGCCCACAGTCCCTGGTCTCTTCTCCTGTCATAGCAGCTTTGACTTGCCCAGCGCTTCCTGGACCCCAGGCACCCCACAGGAGAAAAGTGCTGAGCTCCCAGAGGGCAGGGTGCTTGCCCAGGGTGTGCCGGTTGGGGGCAACGTGGGGACCTGTGGGACCCCCAGGCCCTCCCCTCCTCACCCCTATCCCTGGTTGGCTGCTTTGCTCTCCTGGAAGTGGGGGACCTGGAATCTAGAACGCTGGGGCCTCCCTCTACCCCATGCACCGCAGCACGGCCACGGGGAGGCAGAGCTGTAGCCGGAACCTAGAACGGCGGCGCTTGGCACAGAAGGGCTCCACCCTGCGAGCTGCCTCAGGAGGGGGCCCTAACCCTGGCTCAGAGTTTGGGGAACTCCGAAGCTGCTGGGGAGACCCCTTTCCTAGCACTCTCACTCCCTACCCCCACTTTCCCTGGAAATTCTGGTCGGAAAGTCTTAGTCTTGACCTTGGAGGACCCACTCTGTACTGCTCGCAGCCTAGGCGGAGTTAAGGTGGCAGGGTCGGGCCAGAGCGTGGCAGTGAGCAGGCACCACGGCCCCCAGCTGGTGCCCGGGGCCAGAGGAGCCCAGAGCTGGGGCCAGGCTTCCCTGCTCCAGTTCCGGTGTGGGTGAGTCGTGGGGCACAGATCTTGTTGGTTGAGGGCAGGTGACTCACACCTGCCTCCTCAAACCTCCCCAAACCTAGCCATATTCCCTGTCCTGTTTGTCACCCATCCCCACCCTGTCCCAGGGAATGGTGGGAGCAGATGGAAAGACCCCAGGTTGATGGAGGCCATTTGCCCCAAACTTTGTAACTGTGGGGGGTGGACAGCAGGCAGAGGACCCTGCACCCCGAGGAGCTCCTGGAGCAGAAGGGCTGAGTCAGAGCCAGCTTCCCTTGGCCTTAGCAAACGAGGGAAGCCCGCGGTCTCAGGAGGGCTCGGATCAAGCCCTGTGGAGCCGGGTGGGACCCTGAGCCAGGGGCTCGGGTGAGCTTCCGGGAAGCCCCTTCCTCTGCCTGCCCCCAGGCCCAAGGGCTGAGGACACCTGGCTGCTTGGACGTATACCAGTGGGCCAGGTATGGGCAGAGCGAAGGGGTAGGGAGAGAGGATGAGAGAGACAGGGGAGAGGAGAATCTCCCAAAGAGACGCATCAAAGCAGGTGCTGCAGAGCCAGCAGAGCCAGCGCCAGCCAGACCCGGTGGAGACATCTGCAGCTCTCTTGCCCTCCCCCTTCCTACTGCCACCTCTCGCTGCCCTCACCCGGAGGGAGGGCCGTGGTCCCCGAGTGTGAAAACTGGAGGCTGCTCACAGAGTGGGTTTTGTTACTTCGTTTCTGGATAAAAACCATCTGGCATTGGGTGAGCTGCCTCAAAGTGTCCTTGTTTCCCTACTGTTGCTGTGCACGTGTGTGCATATGTCCACGCATGCATAAATGTGGACGTGCGCACACGCACACATGCACTTGTGCACACACATGCTGGATAACGCAGACCCCTCAGCAAGCGTTTGTGCAAGTGGGTCTGCTTGAATGCTCGCACATGCACGGAAGCACACACACTCAGGTACACGCCTGTACGCAGCGCATCTCCCTCAGTGGTGACGCCACTGCCTGCTCCGCCCTGGCCCCGCCTGCTCAGAAGTGTGCCAACTTCCAGCCCAGAGCGCTGGGACTGTCAAAGCCCTGTGTGTGCCCTCTGGTGCCAGAGCCCGGTGCCCTCTTCCCCCAGCCTGATAGCTGAGTCTAGCCTCTGCCCACCCCCACCCCACATGTGACCTCTGCCCCCGACCCAACCACATCTCTGGTCCTCAGTATGAGGGAGGCAGCTGCATGTGGCTTCTCATGCCCCTCTACCCCCAGCTCCCAGAGCCCCTCCTGGAGCCCCACGCCAAGGAAGCTGGCGGCTGGCTCCTGAGCACTGCCAGCCTCCGGTCCTGAGAAGTCCCTTCCTGCCTGCCTGGCAGAGCTTCCACTAAGAGTGCCTTGGGACCTGTTCAGTGGTCTTAGCATCTGTCTCCACCCCATAGGGGAAAGGGAGGAAAAACCAGACAAGTTGGGGTTTTATGCCAGGGAGCTAGGTCAGCTGGGAGGCGCTCTGCCTCTGACCACTCTGGGGTCCACAGGCACTTGGAGGCCCCTGCAGGCAGAGCGGGGTGAGAAGGTCTCCCTTGTGCCGCAGGGTCTTGGAGACAGTGCATTTCGGTGAGAGGAGGGGTCCGTGCTGGGTGTCAGGAGACCTGGGTTCTGGGATGGGGGGACCTGGGTCCCGTCATTTCCTGTCTCTGGGCTTTCTGACCTCTCCTGCACTAAGTGACCTTGTAGGGCCTCTTCAGGATCCTCTGACTCTGAGGGTTTGAAATTGGACCGTGACAATAGGGGAAGCCATCATCATTGGCATGACCTCCTCCTTTGCTCACTGCACCATCTGAGCTCTGCAGAAAAATCAGACCTTGAGCAAAACACCATGCCCTCGCAGCCTGGAAGAGAGGGCCTTCCTCCTGCCTCACTGACGTGGTGGCCAGGGGTCGGGAGAGGGGACTGCCAAGAAAGGGAAACCTGGCAGAAGAGAAGTGTATTTCTGGGACACCTGGGTCACAGGCCTGAGAATCGCTGTTCCTGGGCAGTATGGGCCCTTCAGACATCTGTCTGGTGGTGGGGCTGGGGCTGGGCTGGAGGTGGAGGGGCCTCACCCTTTCAAATCCACAGTCCCTGTTGCTCCTAAGGACTGCCTGAGGCTCCATGTGATGAAGACATAGGAACTGGCCTCCAGTTGGAGTGCACAGAGGTCAGAGGACCTGGCCATCCATCAAAGGCCACCCACAGCCACATGATGAGGTGAGGGTAGGGACCCCAGTGGGCCCCACGCTGACATCCCCTCCTCTCTCCCTTTCTCCTGCTGCATTTCCTGTGGCCTATGTTGTTTCCTGATCTCCAGGAGGTGGAGGTGAGTACTGCCCGCCTCGCTGTGTGTGGTCTCTGCAGGGCACACCCCTCCCCAACCTTGTCCTTCCCTGCCAGCACCCAGCGTGGTGTGGGAGAATAAGGAACTTATGGGAGAGGCTGGAAAGGATTCCGGGCGTGCGTTTGCGGGGACAGAGGTTTGGGGGAGGCAGGTGGCAGGGTGGATGGGGTCATCTAGGCAGCCACCAGGGTGACAGCAGTTTGCATGTGGAAGCAGTGGCCTGGCCTCTCCCCTCCTTGGCCCTGCAGTTGCACCTCTGGGGTGTGAATCTTATCCCTCCCTCTCCCCTGTCACTCTCTGTCCCCTCTAGGATGACTACATCAAGAGCTGGGAGGACAATCAGCAAGGAGATGAAGGTAACACACCCTTCCCTGGTGGGGGAAGGTGACTGACACCAGGAAGACTGGAGACCAGAGGGCAAGTCCTGCCCCTGCCCTGAGCACTCCTTGAGCAGCCAGACCGATGGCTCCGGAGCTGCAGTTATCAAGGGCTGCTGAAGGGAGGGGCCCTCCAGCTGACAAGTAGGGCTGGGGCTTCCTGGGTTCCCCCAGGTGACCTGTGTTCTGGCCCTGTGTCCCCGCAGCTCTGGACACCACTAAGGACCCCTGCCAGAAGGTGAAGTGCAGCCGCCACAAGGTGTGCGTCGCCCAGGGCTACCAGCGCGCCATGTGCATCAGCCGCAAGAAGCTGGAGCACAGGTAAGGGACTGGGGGGAGGTGGGAGCCCAGGAAGGGGTTTGTTCAAAGAACAAGGCCTTGACAGACCCTCTACTTATGAACTAGTTATCTATTGCTGTGAAATAAGTCACCCCAAAACTTCGTGCTTAAAACAGCAAATATGTATTATGTCACACAGTTTCTGAGGCTCAAGAATCCAGAAGTGGTTCTGTTGGATGGTTCTGGCTCAGGGTCTGTCCAGAGGTTACGGTCAAGGTGCTGGCTAGGGCTGCATCATCTCAAGGGTTGTCTGGGGCTGGAGGATCCTCTTCCAAGCTCACACTCTTAGCTGTTGGTGGGAGGCCTCCGTTCCTAGTCATGGGGACCTCTCCACGGGGAAGCTTGAGTGTCCTCTCAACACGGCCGCTGGCTGCCCCCAAAGTGAGTCATCCAAGAGAGCAAGTGTAGAGGAAGCCACACCCAAACACCGTCAGACCCAGGGACACTCACGTTAACCTCTTGGTGTTTGTGTCTCTAAGACAAATAGATCAGACTGGATAATTCGAGGGTCCTTCCCTCCCTGGCGTGCAGTGAGTTCTGCGAGGTTGTAACTTGCAGAGGAGGAAGGAGTGAGGGGCATTTGAGGAGGCCTTAGCTCCAGCCCAAGGACAAGATCCTTCCTGGCTCCAAGACCCCCAGAAAAGGTCCTGTTTCCCTCTCCTCTCTTCTGAACCAAAGATTAGACTTGGGGTTGCAATCTTAGGTGCCTGCAGGGACCCAGCAGGTAAGGTACTGCATGAAGAGAGCTTGGGGACAGCCACTCTGGTGAGCACAGGCCCAGTGGACAGGGCGCAGCTGCTTCTCGGCACTGGCCCGTGGTGGCTATGTGGGAACGCGACTCCAGGACTGCCACATCTTCCATTTTTCCAAGAAAGTCCAGGAATCCAGGTTTTTTATGTGAACTCTCCCATTTTGCAAATGTTGGTGAACAACTCCATTAAAAAAAAACAAACAAAAAAACAACCCTGGTGGCCGAATATGGTCCCGCAGGCCAGAGGTGCATGGCCCAGGGGCCACCAACCTGCAACCTCTGATTTGGTCTGATCCCTTAAGTGTAGTGTGACTCCCTTTAACCTCTTGCAGTCAGACCTGGAGCTGCTACCTGAAGGCCCCGCTGGACTCAGTAACCCCTGGAAAAGGGAAGCTGGGGGTCTGTGCCTGCCCAGTTGGTTCCACTGTCTGAGCTGGAGGAGGGTGTGGCTGGGGGTGGCGGGAAGGGTGGACAGGCACAGTGAGGAGGGGATCTGCTGTAGGTTGTCAGGCCGCTTCTTACTGGAATGGGTCTCCTGAACCTTCCCTTCCTCCTTTTCACCTCCTTCCCCATGTCCTCCCCACCCTCTGCTGTAGGATCAAGCAGCCCGCCTTGAAATTCCATGGAAACAGAGACTCCAACTGTAAACCCTGCCACATGGCCCAGCTCGCCTCCGTCTGTGGCTCTGATGGTCACACTTACAGCTCGGTGGTGAGTGGCCCGGGCCCAGGGGAATGGGGATGGGGCACAGAGAAGACAATGCAGCCAGGGCCTCCTGAGGGGTTTCTGGGACGGATGTGGGGCCAGGCAGCAAGGTCAGTGCATTCAAAGCAGCCAACCACACTAGGGCCACCTGCAGCCCTGGCCGGGGCTACCTGAGAGTTGCAGCCAGACCCTGTCCCTGACCTCAGGCAGGTGCAGGTAGGGCTGGAAGAGAACTTGGACAGGTAAGGGCAGGTCAGAGTGGGTGAGGTGAGGGCCACATGAAAGTGCCGAGGGCTGGCTGGAAGGAGCTGTGTCGTCCAGCCGGTAGGCAGTGAAGACAGGATGTCCACGTGGTGGCGCTGGTGTTGCCCAGCAGGCAGGGATGTTCTGGGCGGGAGCAAGGAGTTCCCATGAGAAGATGATGTGAACAGGAACTGTGATCGGGAGAATGAATTCTCACCTTATGGGATTTTTTTGGTGAGGATTACATGAGGCAGTATTTGTGAAAGCATTTTATAAACTTTAAAGTACCATAGAAATGCAGGTGCTAATGACGGGTGTGTTTATCAGCAACGAGGAGTTGCGAATTGCTGGGTTTTGGAGGGCGCTGATGGCTGGCCAGGGTTCCAGGGCTGAGATGCAGACTTAAGAGTCACCTGCCCTGGCTGAGTATTGGAGTTACCAAGGGGATGAGGTCACCCAGGGAGCAGGGAGGGAGGCCGGAGAGGCTCCATTTAGGGGCAGGAGGGACACGAGCTAGGAAGAGCTGGCAGAAGGAGAAGAAGAGCAAATGTCCCACAAGCTGGGACAAGGTGAGGTTTGGGCAGGAAGCTGTCATACTGTCCTGCAGGGAGCAGAGTCAGCAGGAGGTCTGACTTTCCTCCCAGCCCATGGCCTCGGGCGAGTCACTGGGCCTCTCTGCGCCCTGACTGCTCTCTGCTGAGCTGGGGAAACTCAATCCTCCTTCCCAGCTGTCCGGACCCAGTGAGATAATGTAAAAGCCTTTGCATTAGTGGCCATCCCACGGGAGAAACAGATACGACCAGGGTAAAAGGCTGTAAGGGCAAGGAGCGGGTGGGCCCCTCTTGGGAACGGGCTTTGTCAAAGCGCCATGGCTGACGCAGCTCTTAGGGGAAGCCGGAAGTTGGCAGAAGTTCAACAGACCATGGCTGTTTGCTACCAGGACGGCTGGGAAAAGCCCACGGGTGACTGTGGGAGACCACTGAAGGAGGGCAATGACTGGTTACACAAGGACCAAGGGGCCACAGTGAGAAGGGCTGGCCAGGAGAGCAGGGGGCAGGCGACAGGCAAGGGGACAGGGGTGAGGGAGGACGTGGGCAGATGGGTGTCCTGGGAAGGACAAATGTTGCGAGAGGGCAGGCTGGGCAGAGCATGGTTCACGGATGCCCTGGTGGCTGGGACTGCACCCTGGGACCCCCTTCCTGGGCTGCTGCCTCTTACACTGTGCACCCTGACCCACAGTGGGGCTAGGAGGGCCCTTCCAGGCTGTTCATGGTGCTCCCCTGGGGAAGGCAGATGTGGCTGCCATGGGAGGGTGACCCCAGCTGCGGGACCCATGGGGTGAGCCCCTCCAGCCCACCTTTCTCCCTGCACAGTGTAAGCTGGAGCAGCAGGCATGCCTGAGCAGCAAGCAGCTGACGGTGAGGTGTGAGGGCCCTTGCCCCTGCCCCACGGAGCAGGCCGCCGCCGCCGATGGCAAACCAGGTAATGCAAGTGGCAGGCCATAGCCAGGCTGGGGGTGAGGGGTGGGGCGCACACTGCCAGGGCCATCCGGGCCTCTGCTTCAAGATGGTAAAAGCAGTTTGCAGAGCTGGAAGGGAGAAGTGGCGAAGATGGGGAAGGGTCTGTTTACACAGAGCCTCAGCCCTCATTTCTCTCCTGGGTGTCTGGAAGGCGGGTGGAGGGAGGGACTCAGCCCCAGGGAGCCTAGGCTGTGTGTTTTTGGTGCTAGGAAGGAATGAGGAGGAGGACAACGGGGCTGGGGAGAGAGGAAGGCGGGGAAGCCCCCGATTTCCACCCACCCCCGAATCCCTGCCCACTGCCCAGCCCACCGGCCAGCAGGGCAAGATCCCAGGCAGATTGCACTGCTGCTTTGCTCCACATTCACCCCACACGCTCCTCTCTGTCCTGCCCACTGCAGAGGCCTGCACGGGTCAGGACCTAGCCGACCTGGGAGATCGGCTGCGGGACTGGTTCCAGCTCCTTCATGAGAACTCCAAGCAGAACGGCTCAGCCAGCAGCGCCGCCAGCCCGGCCAGTGGTACAGAAGCTGGGTGCTCTGTCCGGGAGGAGGGAGGGGGACAGGGAAGCGGCAGAGGAGACAGATGTGCACTGGGCCAGCCAGCCCTCACTCCCTCCTGCCACACCCTGGGCCCTGCAATCTGGGTCCTGAAAAGAGCCTTAACCCTGGAAAAGAAGAGGTCAGTGTCCACCGTGGCAGGAGAGAGACTGGTTAGCCAGTAGGAACTTAGCATGGGTGGAGGGTGCTTAGTCTCTGAAATGGGTAGCCAAGGGGAAGTAGGAATTATTTTCCAGAAAGGCTTTCAGAACGAGGTATTGGATGGTTTAGATGCAGTCCTGTGGAGGGGCAGAGGGAAGGACCTCTGGCCATTCTTGAGTTTCTCAGCCCCACAGTTAGATTCCAAGCTGCCCTGACCCTGAACAGAGGGCTGCAGGGTGGAGGGGTGGAGAGGTGATGGACAGGCGGCTGGAGCTCATCTGAATCCTGGTCTCCTCTCAGGGCTGGACAAGAGCCTCGTGGCCAGCTGCAAAGACTCCATCGGCTGGATGTTCACCAAACTGGACACCAGTGCCGACCTCTTCCTGGACCAGACGGAGCTGGCCGCCATCAACCTGGACAAGTACGAGGTCTGCATCCGCCCCTTCTTCAACTCCTGCGACACCTACAAGGACGGCCGGGTCTCCACTGCCGAGTGGTGCTTCTGCTTCTGGAGGGAGAGTGAGTGTGGTCCCTCGCCCCGGACCCCAGCCCTCCAGCACAGGATCTGCCTGAGCTCCATCATGTCTTTGGGAGTCAGAGTAGCTCCCTGCTGGCCACCTCCCTGGGCCCAGAGCTTTCCCAGCTTGCCTATTTTGTACCCCTTCAGGGCCTCACCTATCTTTTCAGCCCAGGGAAGCCAGCACTTTTAAGTCCTTTCCTTGGCAGGCTCCAAGGCAGGTCCAGATTTTGTGGGTCCTAAAGCTTAGGTACTTTTGGAGGCCTTAAGAAAGAACATGAAAAATGACAAATGCAAAAATTTCTAGGGCCTAGGAAGGGGCCATACAAGTGAGGGTCTTAAAGCTGAAGGTTCATATGCTTCTCTCGAAGCTCAGCCCACTTGTGGGCACGTCTCACATTCTGTGTCCCACATAAATGATTACCTAGGTTATCAGCCTTAGAGATGTGGTGACATTTGTTAGCTGTATATACCCAGAACCAGAGCTGGACGTGTGCTTAGAGACCATTCATCTAGGCTTAGTGGCAAATGTCATTGTCAGTGGGGAAACTGAGATCCGGAGGGGTCAGTGGACCTGCCTGGCCAGAGCTGGGGTAGGCCCTGGCGCTCTGCCTCCCAGGCCGCTGCCTCTGCCATGTGCTGGAAGTAGCATAGCATCCAAGGCCAGGGGCCATGGCTTTGGCCAGGGCTCCCCCATAGGCTGGTGTGGGACCCTGGGCAAGTGACCAATTCTTTCCAAGTTCCGTGTCATCATCTGAGCTGGGAGATAACAATACCTCCCTGGGAAAGGTATTGTTGTGAAGATGAACTGAGTAAATCTATGTGCAGAGCACCATGTAATTCACAAATCCCTCTGCAAATGTGAGGTACTGTGATTGGTCTCACTGCTCCCCACTGCCCGACCTTCCCACCACGTGCACTGCCCCGGCACCGGGACTTCCAGGCCGTCATTCTCCGCCGCAGCCTTCTTGGGCAGGGAGATGGGAACAGCCCTCATTTTACAATCAGGCAGGCCTGGAGTGGCAGGGACTTCCCAAGATCACAGACAAGTTAGAGGTTGGCTTCCAGTTTCAGTCACGTGTCACTTAAGGATGAGGATACAGTCTGAGAAATGCATCCTTAAGCAGCTGTGTCACTGCAAACATCACAGAGTGCACGTACACGAACCTGCATGGTGTAGCCTACTGCCCGCCCAGGCCACGTGGTCTAGCGTACTCCTCTGAGGCTGCAAGCCTGTGCAGCATGTTCCTGCGCCGAACACTGTAGGCAACTGCAACACAGCGGTATTTGTGTATCTGTACATATCTAAACACAGCAAAGGTACAGTAAAAATACCATATGGGATCTCTGTTGCATATGCAATGTGTTTTTGACTGAGATGTCGTTGACCGAAATGCCGGCAGGTGGCGCAAGACTGCATTTCCAGGCCTGAGAGTTCTGCCAAACATTCCCTCTAGTCTGTGTTCCCCCGGGGCTCTCACCCTGGGGTGTCTGTGTTCACTCCACCTTCTCTTTTGAATCCTGTTTACTCATCCCATGGGCCCTAATACCCTCAGAGAGCCACAGGCTTCTGGGGACCTCAGGTGGTCCATGGCTGTGGGGTGGGCTCCTCTAATTAGAGACTGGGTGTTTTCACCCCACAGAGTCCCTGTGGATTTGGGGATCTCAGAGGGATCAGTGCATCCCACCCACTGCGGGGGTGGGGGGAGGGCCCTGTGGCAGAGGCCGGGTGCTTTCATCTTGCAGAGCCCCTGCCTGGGTTTCCAGGCCTTGGAGGGCTCAGTGTGTCCCACCGGCACCATGGGACAGCCCCGTCAGAGGCTGCTTCTCCCCACAGAGCCCCCCTGCCTGGCGGAGCTGGAGCGCATCCAGATCCAGGAGGCCGCCAAGAAGAAGACAGGTGAGGCTGCACCGGGCACGCGGGGAGGGCCGAGAGGGGCTCTGGCGCCTCGGCGTTAAGGCAGACGCTGAGCCCAGAGCAAGCCTAGGACTACAGGGGAGGAAAGCTCTCTTCCTGGTCTATCCTCCTGGTGTGACGTAGCAAGGTCTCCCAATCTGCCCCTCAGTGAGTATGTTTTTAGCATTAATTGTACGCCCATCCAAGCCAGGGCTAGAGGTTGGAAGACCTTCCATTCAGTTCAATTCAGTTCAGCAATGTTGGAGTAAAGCTTAAGTGGGGCCCCTCCACGGCAGACACTCGCTCACATATGCAACAGACGGTCAAATGACAGCCCTGGGCGGTCAGCAGCCATCCCAGCCCCACTCAGAGCTGAAGGCAGGACAGGCTTGGTCCCCAGCCTCCTAAACCTTCAGCACAGGCCAGCTGGGCACCTGGTATTGTAATCATCCACGTGGGTCTCTTTTCCCACCACGTGGGCAGAGTCCATCTCTAGGTCCCCGGAGTGTGACCCCAGAAGACGTCTGTTGGGTGGACAGAGGAGCAGCAGTTCAGGGTCCTGTGGAAAAAGAGTGGCCTGAAGGCCGGAGCGAGGGGCTGAGAGGAGAAGGCTGGGCCTTCCGGGCAGGGGGCAGCCAGGCCGGGGGAGCAGTGCTAGGATCAAGGGCATTGAGCGCGATGAGATCAGACTGGCTGTCCTAGAAGGTGTGGGCCACGGACAGGAGGACACGGTGGGGGCAGATGGGGGCAGCACAGGGCCTGAGCTGGTGGCGTAAGGAAGCAGGTTTCTCATCTCCAGTGACTAGAGCGGGAAGGAACGCCCAGCCCTGGGCATCTGGGCTTGCAGGGTGGTCAGTACCAGGTCTGGCCGGGCTCTGGGGGCATCTGGACTCCTGCCCATGCCCTAGGCTCTGACGAGGCCGCCTCTCTGAGGAGCCCACGCCCCAGGGCCCTGCTCTGACGCGCTGGGCTCTGTCCCACTCAGGCGGCTTCATCCCAAGCTGCGACGAGGACGGCTACTACCGGAAGATGCAGTGCGACCAGAGGAGCGGCGACTGCTGGTGTGTGGACCAGCTGGGCCTGGAGCTGACGAGCACGCGCATGCGCGGGAGCCCCGACTGCGGTGAGGGCCTGCGCGGGGAGGCCGGGGCCGGAGGTCCAGGTTTGGGGGTGCGGGCAGGTCCCTGACCCGCCCAATGGCTTGTTCCCCTCACAGACGACATCGTGGGCTTCTCGGGGGACTTTGGGAGTGGTGTCGGCTGGGAGGATGAGGAGGAGAAGGAGCCGGAGGAAGCGGGCGAGGAGACCGAGGAGGAGGAGGGCGAGGCGGACGACGGAGGCTACATCTGGTAGACGCCCTCGGAGCCGAGGCGGGGCGCCAGCAGGGACCTGAGCGGAAGCGGGCGGCCTGGCGGATGGATCCGGAAAATGCAGTCGGAAGGACCCTGGCTCGAACCGGAAGGACTGGACGTGTGAGTGTGCATGGCGCGCGTGTGGCACGTGTGGCTGCGGCGGATGAGTGTCTTGTGTGTGGCATGCGCTGACAAACGTGTCCTTGGTCCACGCTGCTCCTGGCAGAGGGAGTCACCCAAAGGCCCCTTCGGCCTCCTTGTAGCTATTTTCTTCCCATTCGTTGTTGGTCTTAAAACACACACATTCACACACATACAGACGTCAGCAGGTTGATGGAATGAATGAGATGCCCTCTAGCCATGTCCCCCAGCCCAGCCTAGCCCTGCCACCCTGGGTTCCATTCCTACCCTGGTTCACCCAGCCCTGTCGCCCCCACCCTTGCTGCCCTCCCCATCTCCCATTAGGGTCAGGCTCTGGCCTGTGGGCCTGTCCCCATGGCAGAGAGGAGGGAGGCCAGGGAGCTGTCTACTGGCTGGGGATTGGGCCGATTTGGTGTGACGCCCCCGCCAGCTTCAGATGAGATGAGCCAGGACACCCGGCCACAGCCAGCCCCATTCCTTTGCCAAATCCCCAAGCACTACAGAAACTCTCCTAACTCAGGCCAGAGGGACCGAAGGTGGCCGAGAAGGAGCTGGGGCAGAAGCGGAGAGGCAGGGCAGGAGACTGGTTATCCATTGGTGCGGGAGGGGAGCAGGGGAATCTGCAGTTGCAGATCCTGGGAGAGCTCCTAGGAGTGGAGATGGGCAGCCCTGAATGCCAAGCCTGGAACAGCTGGCCCCTTTCTGTGGGTCTCATGTGTGGCTCTGGTCTGGGCAGCTCTCTTGGGGACAGTGGGTGGGTGGTTTTGCAAGTGAGCTCTGCCTGGCTACCTCTCAGTGGCCCTGGGGGTGCTGCTTCTTCCTTGATCTCCCTTGCTGGGGTCCCCTTCTCCACCCCAGGGAGCCTGAGGACCAGGCTGAGGGGTCTCAGCCAGGGGTTTGTGTGTGCCCACCTCCTCCCTGACCCCCTAACGCAGGCTCCCCATCTGCCCAGACTGATAGAAAGACTTGTCCCTGAGGCCCTACAAAGGAGAAGCTGCTAGAAGCTGCTGGAAGCTGCAGCCTTCCTACCCTGAGACCAACTTTTCTGCTCAAGGGAGAGGCACGCTTGGGACATTCCCAGCCCCACTCCTCTCAGCCCCTGGGGTTCCCCTCTGCCCCCTCTGAGAGTCCCCTAGAGCTGCCCCAGTGGGAGTCATAGTGTGTAGAAGTTGTCAGAGGGGACAGGAGCGGTGCAGCCAGGCTCTGAGGCCACACCTCCCTGTTAGCCCAAGTCTCCCGACCAGGTGGAAGCTAATTTTACCAGATGAGATGTTGGGTGGGTTTTGTTTGCTTGTTGTTGTTTTCCCTAATCTGTCCAGTTCTCCCCATTGAAGCAAATTCCTCAACACCTTTGGTGAAGAATTTCTTACCCAGACTTGGGCCTGTGATATTCTTCGGTGCATGGTGAGTGCAGTGTGTGTGTGTGTGTGTGTGTGTGTGTGTGTGTGTGTGTGCATGTATGTATGTGGGCGTGTGTGTGCAACCTGGGGGGCCATCCAGGTGGCCGGGGAGTGTGAGGAGTGCCCTGTGCGCTGGGTGGCCTGTGGGATGCCGGGTCAATGTGGGGAGGCTCCCGCCCGGCTCTCCCAGCCCCTCCCTGCACCCTCAGAGCCCTGCTGACTTCACAGAGGAGCCTCACCCTGTCCGCCCCGTCCTCCACCCTGGAAGCAACGCCGTCCAAGTCCTTCCTGGGGAAATAGCAAAACTCTGTGAGCCCCGTAAACTGCTTCCCATTCCGCAGCACAGTTCTGATCGTTGAGGTGTCACGCTGTTCCAGATCCCCTGGTCCCTTTCTTCCTCCTGTCCCTCTTCTGTCCTCCACTGCCTTCCTCTGGCCCCTGGCTCAGTTCAGGGAGATGCTGTCCCACCTCAGCCCTCTGCTGTCCATGTAGGGTAGCTGCAGCCGCTACTTGACTTGGAGCTACTTGAAACTTCCTGCTCGAGCTAGGATGGGAGTCTGTCTCTTCCCTCTGCCCCAGCTGGGCTTCCGGAACTGCCCTTCTGGGGGCTGCTGTTGAGGATGTTGGGGGGCTTTGGGGGAGGGGGCTCAGAGGAAGGGGCGTCCCCCTTCTCTTGCTGTTGCCCTCCACTCCCGGGGGGGGGGGCGTGTGCTCTCTGTGTCTCCCGGTCTTCTGGTTGTGCACGTTTGTCTGACCTTGTAAATATGTTTTAGGAGGAAAGCAAAAGGCGTTGAACTGGCCCCTGGCGGGACTGCAGGGTCCAGCCTTGCCTGTCTCTGAACCCCACACTGCTTTTCACCCCACTGAGACTGGGGTCCCCCCAGAGGTAGACAAAAGCGGCTGTCCCAGTGGGGCTGAAGGCCTCCAAGTGACTTCCTGTTAGACAAGCTGAAGGTTTCCTCGGGAGCAAGGTTGCAGGTTGGCCCTTCCTCAGCTCCTAGTGCCCATGACCAAGCTGCCTGCCACCCAGCCCCACGTGCCCCCTCCCCCGATGCCCTTGCTCCTTCCTGCCCTCTCCCTGGCTTAGGCAGGCAGGGGAATTAGGGCTGCTCTGAGAGGGGCTCAACCAAATTTTAAAAGGACAGTTTCTCGCCTGGCCCTGGAGCTGCCCTTGGCCCCGCCATGCCCCGCGGCCCATGGGTGCTGGGAGAGGTAAATGTCTAAGATTGGGTGCGTTAGGGGTGGAAAAAATAAATGTGCCTTGAGAGACCACTCAGAGAGGGGCCAAGGGTGATGGAGACGGAGGCCTGGGGAGTGCAGGCAGGAGGCTAGAGGATGAGAGCGGGACAGGTCTTGGTTGCCCCTGGGCTTCCACTAGGCTGCGACTGCACGTGGAGGTGGGCACCCTTGCTCCCTGCAGCCTGCCTGGTTTCCACGGGCGGGCCTCCCACTCGGCCCCACGAGCTCGTGTGCTTCCACCTTCACCCCGAGTGGGTGGGGACCATTGGCACCCACGCGGAAGCCTCCTCTGCACCAAAGCCTACACCCTCAGCCCGAGGCAGAAGGAACGGCTGATCTTTGACACCTGGGGTCATCGCGAGGCTGCAGGCCAGCAGGAGCCCCAGGGAAGAGACACTGGGGTGCAAGAGGAGACTGGAGCCACCCTGAGGAAGTCCCAAGCAGAGCAAACTGCTTTCTAGCCTGAAGCCTAAACTGTGTGACGTGCAATAACTGAGCTTAGAGTTAAGAATTGTGTTCAAGTGCTTGGATTTCCGTCTGTAGATTTAAGTGCTGAAGTTGTATCTCTCAGTAATTTTAGATGTCTTTAAAAAAAAAATCGAAAAACAAAGTGTTAGACCATGTGCGTGCGTCAATGGGCACTCAAGCGTCCCTCGGGTCACCCACCTCACCCTTCTCCCCCCGCACCCTCACCCCTCACACCCCACCCCTGCCTCCACCTGGGGACCCCGCCTCGTGTTGTCTTTCTCTGCCTATTACTCAGCCTAAGGAAACAAGTACACTCCATACATGCATAAAGGAAATCAAATGTTATTTTTAAGAAAATGGAAAATAAAAACTTTATAAACACCACCTGCTGGCAACACTCTGATTATTCTGCTCCTTGGTGTTAATTTTTACAAAAACAGCATTCACAGATGAGATCCCATAGTCCTGACTGTCAGAGTTATCATGTTTCTCTCACTCCCCTTCATTCTCCAGACCTCGGAGAGGGCGGGGCCGGGAGCAGGGGCCTGATCTATCCGGGAGGACCATGAAGGACTTGAAAATATCTCTGGTATTATTGCAAATATATCTGCAACCTATCTTTGTATATATGCCAATAAACACATCTTTATCACAAAGCAGAGATCAAACTATGTCCTGCTTTCTTCACTTAACATAAGTCTTCCCCTGTGTTATTAAAATTATTTGGAGACATGTCTTTAATAGGTGCACAGGATTCCACAGTGTGAATGTACTCTGTTGAGTTTATCCATGTCCCTGCTTTTGCACATTTGTATTGTTTCTGATTCCTTGACATCAATAGTGCTGGGACAGGCTTGGGTCCATCGGATTGTTTCCCCAGGCCAGATGGCCACGGTGGAATGACTGAGTGAAAAGGCATTTAAAAAAAAAATTGTGTAGCTCTCTGGGAGGCCGAGGCGGGCGGATTGCTCAAGGTCAGGAGTTCAAAACCAGCCTGAGCAAGAGCAAGACCCCGTCTCTACTATAAATAGAAAGAAATCAATTGACCAACTGATATATATATAAAAAATTAGCCGGGCATGGTAGCACATGCCTGTAGTCCCAGCTACTCGGGAGGCTGAGGCAGAAGGATCGCTCGAGCCCAGGAGTTTGAGGTTGCTGTGAGCCAGGCTGACGCCACGGCACTCATTCTAGCCTGGACAACAAAGCGAGACTCTGTCTCAAAAAAAAAAAAAAAAAAAATTGTGGTAAAATACATATAACATAGAAGTTATCATTTTAACTATTTTATTTTGTTTTTTCAAGAACCGGTGTCATATGATTTTTTTATTTTTAATTTTTATTTGTTGATTTATTTTTAGAGACAGGGTCTTGCTATGTTGCCCAGGCCTTCCAAAAGCACTGGGAGTATAGGAATGAGCCACTACGCCCTATTTTAGCCATTTTAAAACACGGTACAATTCAGTGGTGTTTAATATCATCACAATGTTGTGCAACCATCACCATAATCCAGTTCCAGATTTTCATTGAAGGGATGAGCTTTTTAAAGACCTTGCCTACATCTTACCAGGTTGCTTTTCAGAAAGATGAAAGCAATAGGGACAACCCTGTCAACTGAGTGTACAACTATTGGGCTCCTTAACGGGTTGTCAGTGTTATGAATTCTAATTTTTAAAAAGCTTGGCCAGTTTGGCAGAAGAATAACCATGTGTCTTATTTTTATCTCTTTGATTAGCAGAGCTGGGGGACTATTGTCATTATTTTGTGACTTTTCTGCTCATATAGGCCTTGCTCACCCTTTCACTAGATGTGTCTTCCTTTTAACGGGTCCTTGTGCATCGTGGAGGGCACAGGAGCTCTGAACTCTAGCCCTAGAGCTTGCTAACTGTGACCCTGGGCAAGTCATTGGATGGATGGAGAGCATAACCCATCTCACAAGGATCACCTATGACAACTGGTGGAAGTGATTTCCAGACAGTGAAGGCGAGCCCTGCGCCCCTGTCTGCTTATGCCCCCATCGCCAGCCTAGCGCCAGGGCAGGCTCTGCCCACCTGGCCAGAGTGGATCCGTAGGCAGGGGGGCTACCTCCTGCAATGTGGGAGACATGGCCTTCATTGTCTCTCACTGCCACCAACAACGTCAGACTCAGAGGCTCAGGAGTCTCCCTGGAAGGAAGTGTGAGGAGGGAGGTGACTGTGGAGGAGCTATGCCCAGCATGGGGGAGGAAGGAGGATGTGGGTGAAGACGGGAACAGAGAGCCCTGGAAACGGTTTCATTCACTGGGCTTGTGGCAACCTGCAGGTTTGGAGACGGAGGAACATGGGGTGGTGTTGGGGTGTGCTGAGGCTGGAATCAGTGAGTCAGTGGCTCGCACAGACCGTGAGCTGACTTGTGTTAGGCACACAAAGCCCTACTGTTACGTGGAAATAATAATACTGACAATTGAACACTTGCTACGTGCAAGACCCTGTGCCAAGGAGGTATCTTACATCAGCCTGTGGGAGGTGATGCTTATATTTAAAGCCCAGTTTGCAGATGAAGGAACTGAGTCTCAGAGGAGTTCAGTAGCTTGACCAAAGATGCCCAGCTGGTAAGGGGCATTCTGTTCCTCTCTACATCCAACCCAAAGCAGGCTGCTACCAGAGCCCAGCGACTGTGCTGTTGCACACAGGAAGCGTTAGGGGGACTCTGGGCCCCCAGGCCCCACCTCCAGAGAGGCTGGGCTGGGGTCCGGGCATCAGAATGTTTTCCAAGATTCCCAAGTAATGCTAATGTGTGACTAGCAGCATGCTGCCCAGACCAGGCAAATGCAACCAGGGAGTGTCTCAGAGGCGGGGACAGGATGTGCAAGAGGCCAGGGCAGGAATGAGGGCCGTTTAAGGCTTGGAGGCCAATCTGAGGTCAGGAAAGCTCCAGCAATTGTCTGGCAGGAGGGCTTCGTTTTATCATTTCATCCAACATCTTGTCAGTCACCAACACAGGCCTCAGCGCTGGGTCGTTACAGCAGCGTTGAGTGGCTTGGAGGAGCCTACGGCCCGCTGAGGACAGCTGAGCCCAGCCCGTGGGAACCCTCTGGGTGTCCTCAACCTTCAGGGAAATTTTGGCTTTTACACCTGGTGGGACAAAGTTTGGTCAGGTGATGGGAAGCTAGAGGCCCTGGCTTCTAGAACAATCCTTCCATTGTCACCATGTCCCAGCAACCTGGGTTCTCAGGGTCCCCTGGGTCAGCAGCAAGCACAGCATTGCTGGGGACAGGCCTAAGTGTTGACTGGCAGCAAAGGCAGGGCTGTGGCCATCCAGGAAGCCACCCACTGGAGCCCAGCTACACGGGGCACCCACTGCCCACCCTCCTGCCTGGACGTGGCCCCATCCTCAGCCCACCCCTCCTTCACCGTGAGCCCACTGCATCCTGGCACCTTGCTTTTCCTTACTATCTAGCCTCCCGGGGACAGGGACTATGTATTATTGACTTCTCTCAGGTGAATAGCTGGGGCCTGGGAATAAATCAAGATGAAAAATTCCAAACTGCACACAGGTCCGTACAGGTGGCCTTCCCCTGCCGCCACGTGCCACCTGAGCGCTGATCAGCGCCCCGGGCTGATCTCCACGCACCTTTGCTGGGTGGGTGGGGGTCTATGGAGGGGGTGGAGGGTGTATTTGACCAAAACCAAATAATTTTAAAACCTAACTTTTTATAGTTTGAGCGAAATAAGTGAGGGAAAGGAAGACAAGACCCGAACGTTTCTGTATCTCATCAACGCCCTGTGTCCTTTACGTTACGTTGTTGAATCCTCCCAGCAGCTGCATGAGGCAGGTGTCACTGACCACCAGCCCCCTCTAGGGATGGGAAGTTTCCGAGGGCTGACCTTGGCTCACCAGGTCATGTGCGGTGGGGCTTTCCGGTTGCTCCGGGCCTGGCCGACTCCAAGGTCAGCTACCAGCTGCCACGTCTGCGGCACTCCTGTGTGACTCCCACGGTGAGAAAATGCCTACTGCGGGAACCCGGCATTCTCATACATTAGTCATGGGTGAATGTGGGGGCAGCGGGGAGGGGCGGGCTGGGGAAGAGGCTCAGGAGAAGTGAGAACACCTGGGTTTTACCCAGCTCTGCCTTCAAACTTGGGTCAGCATGTCTCCATGCGCCTCAGTTTCCCCATCTGTAAGGTGGAGGGATTGGACTAGATTGCCCAATGTTGGGATTCAGTGAAAGAGTGCCAAGGGACGAATCCAGAAATCGTTTTCTGTTAGATTTGGGATTTTCTTCTAACATTGCACAGTTGCTTTAATTAGCCCTCAGGGCTCACACATTTGCAAAGCTAAATTAAAGGTACTTGAAAAAGAACGATCCACCGGGAGCTGTGGCTCACGCCTGTAATCCTAGCACTCTGGGAGGCTGAGATGGGAGGATGGCTTGAGCACAGGAGTTTGAGACCAGCCTGGGCAAGAGCAAGTCTCTGTCTCTATAAAAAAAAAGGAAAAAAAATTCCCCAGCAAGTGGCCGGGGAAGATCTTCACACACGTGATTTCATCCGAGCCTCACAGCAGCCCTAATCATTTTACAGATGATGAAACCAGGTCACGGCACTCTCTGCAAAAAGCACTCTCCCTCTTCCCCCGGTGCAGGTGGTGAGGCTGAGGCACAGCAGGTGAAGGTCACGCAGCTTAGCAAGTGGTGGAGCCAGGACTGTACCCATGGCACCAGGGCCATGCTCTGAGCAGCCACAGGATGTGACTTTGCCACACTGCTTCTCTGGAAGGGTGGGCAGCCTCGACACCTGCGCCTCTGGGATGAGTCGGCTTCTAGAGAAGGCTGGGCTGACCGTGGGGTGGGGCTCCTGCTCCCACCCCCATCCTGCCCTGATTCCCGCCATGCCATCAGAGGGTGGGTGGCCGCCATCCACGTCTCCCTGGAACGTTTGCTTCCCTGGCCCAGGTTGGGGGGAGGCCCCTCCCTGCACCGTCTCCTCTCAATCACATTTATAGCTAATCTGGGGGAGGAGGAAACTAAAACCACTTCTTTTCTCTACTTTCACTCTGTCAACACAGAATACTCCACCTCTGGTCGCCAAAATGTGTGGGCATTTCCCCCTAGACACCAAGCAGTTCTCAAGTGGACACCAAGTAGGTGTCCTACAATTCAATATATTTATTTTTATTATTTATTTATTCATCTATCTATCTATTTATTTATTTAGACACAGAGTCTCACTCTGTTGCCTGGGCTAGAGTGCGTCAGCCTAGCTCACAGCAACCTCAAACTCCTGGGCTCAAGCAATCCTCCTGCCTCAGCCTCCCGAGTAGCTGGGACTATAGGCATGCGCCACCATGCCCAGCTAATTTTTTCTATATATATTTTTAGTTGTCCAGCTAATTTCTTTCTATTT